CTGTCTCCTCCACCCAGTCAAGAGCTCCTTGAGGAGCAGGACGTGCTTATTCATATTTGTATCATCTGGCCAGGTAAGGTCCAAGGAACATGTCATCGAATGCTAAGTCCCAATTCAGGGTACTCTGGTCCAGGGAGGGGTCTGAGATTCCAAGAGGACAGCCTAGAGGTCCCGAAGCCTCTCGCTCACAAGAGCGTGTCTGAGAAGCACTGCCCTGCTCGGCCCCCTCCCCAAAGCACTGAGCACTCAGTCCCGCGAGCTCGGGGCCCAGACAGAAGCGTGACAGCTGACAGACAGGAGAGAGGTCACAAGGGCTGTAAAGGGGAGCCGCACTGCCCACGTGTGAGTCCTGACTTATCACTGACCAGCCGTGCAGCTCGGAACGGGGACCTGCTGTCCCTGAGAGGGAGCCCTCACCGGGCTGCCGCAAAGACCAGATAAATGCAGTGTGGAGAAGTGCCAAGTCCTGCTCCCAGATTAGGGGGCCACCAACAATCAGGACTGACCCTATCCGTACCCTCCCCTGCTCCTCCTGCCACCTTCCTTCCTCCCCACCCTTGCTCTGAGTAAACACCCACCACTCTGGCCACCTCAGCAGCTCACTCATGCAGAAGAGAGGGGACAAGGGCAGGTGGGGCTCCAGTCGCCTGGAGGCAGGAGCCCCTTTGAAGAGGTGGCTAGTGCTCAGCCCCAGATGCATGTTGCCAAGTGGACTGGGGGCCCAGCCTTGCCAGAACTTCAGAAGAACTGGAAAATTGGATTTTTACCTTACATTTCCTGAGTTTTAAATATCAGCAACTAATTAAGATTTCCTAAAACACTTGGAGGCCAAAGAAAATCTACTTCCGTGCTGGCCCTGGACTGCCATCCCACCCCCCCCCCCCACCCCGCCGCAGGGTGCAAACCTGTGTCTGAGATGTTTGCTCCTGGTCTCCTGAGTGGACCTTACTTCCACCGTGGCCACACCATCCGGGGCCTCAGCCGGATCCCGTTCCCATCCAGCGAGTGACCTCCGTATGTCTCTTTACCAGATGGACAAACGTAACCTATCAACTATTCCAGGGCCAAGCTGGGCCATTCTGCTGCTTCCCCGCACTTCACAACTGAGGCTGCAAGCAGCTGTTCTAGCGGACAGAATGTGGTTCTCGAGTCAGAGAGCTGTAGCCCACAGCTTGACCCCAAACCTTTCTAGTCGCACGACCCTGACCGCGTTGAGTTAGCTTCTCCAAGCCTCGGGCCCCCCACAGGATGGAGTGACCCCACCTCCAGCACCTGGCACACGGGGGGTGCCCCAACCTGGGCGGCTTTCTTTCCTGTCTGTTAGCACCCCTCAGAGGATGAGCAAGGGGAGGCCAAAAAGGAGAGGAGTCTGCTCATTTGGCCCCCGTTTAGTAGCAGTTATGATAAAATGAGAAATTTCTGTCTACTGGACCCACTGAAACCCCCTCCCCACAGCCCCGCCTCTCTGAACCCTACTAACCGTCAAGATGGGCTTTTCAGAGGACCCATCAGTGCAGAGCAGAGAGATCCCACAGAGAACACGTCAGATCTCAGGGAGGCAGAGCCATATGCCTTGGACAAAATACTTCACCTCTCTGAACCTCAGCTGTCTTATCTGTAAAATGGGGATAACTTTACCCACCGTGTAGGGGGAAACAAGACAACTAAGCCTGGCGCTCACAGTAGCTCTATACCCACTACCTTACTTTCGACCTTCTTCTAGACACGAAACACTGCAACACAAACACGAGGACGTCGGCTGTGCCACCTCAGGGCTGCAGGTGGTCCTGCCCCGAACCGGAGAGGCTCACAGAGGAGTGGCGGCTAGAAAAGGACCAGGGAGACTGCATAGGGCTAGGCACAGAGAAAAGGCTCGCCTATGGCTTTGAGCATGGCGGGAGATGGGGTGGAGCCTTTACGGGACCTTGGGCATCTGTCCCAAGACGGCAAACTCCATGTGAGCCACTCTCCACCCTGGACACAGCGGAGCCTGGCCGGGAGGACAGGATGCAAGGAGGAGGGGCAGGGGCCCACGGGGAGGGCCCCATCAGAGGCCTCTCCACCCATCCTGAGCACCCACGGCAGGGTGGGGGTCGGGCCACAGCCTCTAGAAGGGGACAAAGGAAAGAGTGACTACATAAGCCGAGTCCAGCCTTTTCTCCAGGCTCTGTGCCATCTTCTGTCTCCCTTGCGTGGAGGATGAACGTGCAGGTGTATCCAGATGTGCCCCCAAACTTGTGCAAGCTTAGAGTTTTGCTGGGCTGGCTTACAGGCATTTCGACACCCAGCTGAATGTGGGTTATGCACAGGGCAGAGTGGAACCAGTGAGGGGCAGGGCAGAGGGAGAGGTGCAGTCCTCCCCCAGGCAGAGGAAGTTCTTAGGGGCAAAGAAGAACTTCAAAGAGCTGAACCAGGAGCACTTAAAAAGTGCACTAAATTCAGCAGGACCCCTTGGGTGACTTGCTTTGTCTTCCACCCCAGAGCAGGGGGTGGGACCTGCACTATTCCATTCCCTGACCTGGCAGGTCTTGGCAGCTAGCAGCGGGCCTGCCTACAGCCAGCGCTCAGTGTCACCCAAATGGATGCAAATAACCTCACCAAGCGAGGCAGGCAGGGAATTTCCACCAGAGAGAACAGAGGCTGCTACCTTTTACTGGGGACGGAGCACGTGTCAGGCACTGGGCCAAACACTTTCCATATATTATTTCCTGTAATCCGCTCAGAGCCCTGTGAGATGGGTCCTGCCATTATTCCCGGCTTGCCCCAGGTGGTGCAGTTAGGAGGCAAGTGAGTCTTCAAAGCCCGGCTATTAGCGCCCATAGTTACAGCTCTTTCCACTTGGCTCTGAAGGGGCCACGAAGATGCCAGGCCATGGGACAGAGCTGAAGACAAACGCTCATGTGGAGCTGAGGCCACATTCAGGAGGAAGGCCTGTCACCAGCCAACAAGACTCTGAAAGCGGCCTGCACTGGGGGCTTCTCGGGGCAACCATGACCCTGGGTGTCCACTCCGGGGTCAGAGGACAGGCAGCTGATTTGTGCCAATGCCCAGTTCCCCGGCTCAATGGGGTTTTGTTGACTGCAGTTCGCAAGGCCTATGGATTTATTTCCAATCTGGTTTGGAAACACTGTGTCCAGACCTTTCCAGACAGGCACTTCTGGGGCAGGGGGAAATTAATAACTCCTCTTAATTGCCCAAATAAGGGAACTCAATAAGACTTTCATGAGCCAAAGGAGGTTTGCTTTGTTTCTTTCTACACAGCCCGGCTGGGAGGCAGTGGCCTTGCAGCTCACACACCCGGCGCCATTATTTCCACTCGGCAGCTCTCCTCTTCTGAGCCTTTGGTCCTGGAACGTCAAACTACGCTTTCCAGCGCAAGAGAACCAAAATTCCACACACTTCTTTGAAGCATTCCTTCCACAGAGACAAGTAACTTCCCTTTAAGGCCTCTCCTTGTCCAGCTGGCCCTGGAGTCCCCAGTTCCCCTCCCCCTCTTGGCCACTGGACGAGACCACAAATGGGGGATCCCCTCCTTCACGGTCCCAGGAATCTGCTGCGGATTAACAGCAATGAGGAGAGTTCCCTAGAAAGGACCCCACACATGAACTGGACGCCCCACTTCTAGAGACTTTGTTTCAAACCACAGACACAGCTCACTGTCCCTAGGCATCCGGGCCCTTGGGGAGCTTGGGTGGGAACGCAGTAGGGGAGGACAGGTAGCCTGAAAGGGAGGTGTAGTCTCTCCCTCCATGCCTCTCTCCCCGTTCTGTGAGGGAGGGGCCATGGGCCCTTGTGCCCAGAGTCCCCATGGTCACCTCAGGCCTACGCAGGATAGGCACGCTGCCAGGAACATCTAACAAGCCCCCAAGGATGAGGCAGGAAGCTGCCTGCAGCCACGCTCCAAAGGTGAGCCTGTCCAGTCACCAGGGCATTCCCCTCTGGGGCTTCCAGTATCAAGGGCCAGGAGGAAGTCTAGGGAGGCAGGCCCTCTGGGGTGTGGTCCATATCAGTAAAGTATGGATGTGTGCTCACAAGTTCAGATGTTGGGTGCTGCCAACTATTCCAGGGCTTTGGGGGGACTAGAAAAAGAGGCTCCCTCTGGGCAGACCCAGTCTCAGGAACACAGCAGAAGCTTTGTCTTCTTCTAGGAGCCACAGCTTGCATTTCTAGGCCCTTTGAACCTCTCAAGGGACACCTTTGTGCAGCGCATCTGTGCCAGTCCTAACAGGGGAAACTGTGTCTCAGTCCTCTGGGAGTTTGGATTTTCACCTAAGGATCTGGGAGAGGGGAATGCACAGACATCCGGACCAGAGTACCAACTGACCTGTGCGGGGGACGCTGGTGTGTGACAGAGCCTGGCAACAGTCACAGATTTGTGGAAGTGGGCCAGGTCTGAGAGCTATGTGGGTAATAACCACCAAGCGTTCTAGCCGCTCTCAGGACGCAGGCCCTCTTGGTTCCCCCTCACGGCTCCCCAGTTCTGCCTTTCAGTTACCCTCTGGGTGGTCCCCGTCCAGTTCCAGAGCTGGACACAAGATTAGCTGCGCTTGCGATGGCTCTGTGAGCTAGCCCAGGGCCATAAATGGAGTCCTTCAGAACATTTGTTCCCACTTTACTGCCCTCCTGCCAGAGCTAAGAGGGTTTAAGGACAAAGGGAGTTGTGGCCACAACCGAGAAAGTGGCAAGGCAGTCGGCCCGGGTCCGGATACACTTGTTTATCCTCACTTAATGAGATGGAGCACCCAAGGGACTGTGGTCAAATGAACACACCAGCACCACCCCCACCCCAGGCAGTCACCCTGGCTCTGTGCAGGATGTGCAGGAATGAAGCCTGTGCTTCACACTAACGATAATGCCAGCTAACACTTATGGAGCGGTTTCCATGTACCAAGCCCTGTCCTAAGGACTTTTCAAACATAAACTGATTTAATCCTCACAACCTTGAGGTATGTGCTATTATTATCCCATTTTAAAGATGAGGAAATCAAGGCCCGGGAAGAGTTAAGTAGCTTGCTCAAGGTCACATGGTTACTAAGTGGTGGAGGCAGGATTTGAACCCAGGCTATGTTCTCAGCATGGTCTTGCAATGTTTCAGACAGGGTTATTCAGGGCCACAAGCACCCTGAGTTAATCTAAGTGATGATTCTGCTACTCTTCCCTTTTGTACACAGAATGTTTTCAGGGGTGGGGATGCAGCAGAGAGAAGGAAGTCCGGTCTACTTTCAATATGTAACCTCTAATTCATACGTCTTTTATTCTAATTCTCCCAGTGTGACAACAAGTTAAAGGGCTTGGAGAAACAACATCTACTGAGCCCCTATAAAGCTTGTGCCCACGGAACTCAGCTAGTTTCATGAAATCTCCAAGACAGCCTTGCAAGGTACCTACTACTGTGCCCATTTTGCAGATGAGCAAACCAGGGCACAGGGAGAAGGGAATTACTAGCCCAGTAGTAGAAATGGGCTTGGAATCCGGGTCCCTCTGATTTCAAAGAGGAGCTGGAGACGCAACAAGACGTAAAGGGGTAGGGACAGGGGAGAGCCAGGGGCCACAGCAGCAGGCATGAGTACCAGGTGAGGGACCTCACCAATGAGGATGGTACTCCCAGGAGGATTCTCTCTCAGGGCCTAGGAGTCACAGAGCAGCCCCCATCCCTGGTAGGATCGCTCTCGGGCCCCGGAGGGATCCCACCATGTTCGGGCCGGGGCAGCGCCGATAGGCCAGGGTGAAGGGCTGGGAGGGAAGATGGGACTCCTGTCCCGCTGCGGCTCGGGAATCCTGCTGCGACTTGCTGGAATACCAGAACCCCAGTGTTTATGGGACGGCAAGCACGGCCCCCTCCACCCCGAGACGCCCTCGGGGGCGGCACCGCGGCTGGCTCTGGTCAGCATCAAAGACAAGCAGATGGGCAGGCGGACCAGCGGGTAGCCAGCACCGGGGGCGGGGGGGGCGGAGGGGGGCTGCCACCGCCGAAAAGGACGCCCTACTGAGGGGCGAGCTTGGACGCAGAGCGGGCGCGAGACCCCCCCTCCCCGCCCTCTAAAGGAAGGGAAGAAAGGGGCCCGCGGCCCCACAGTTGCCCTCTCTTCTCTCTCCCTCCTCGCAGCGCTCTGAAAGAAGGAGGGGTCCTAATGGACCCCAAGCCTCTGACAGGCCCCCTCCTCCCTCCTTCCTTTGTCACGGCAGCCTCCGCACAGGCACCTCCCGGCCGCCTCCCCTCCCCCCGACCCCAGCCCGCGCCCCCGCGGGGTCGCCCCAGCGCTCACCCAGCGGCAGGCTGATCCGAGGGGCGAGCGCCGGAGTCGGCGGCGGCGGCAGCAGCAGCAGCAGGAGCAGTAGGAGTAGCGGCGGCAGCCGGGGCGGCAGGGCGCCCCGTGGGGCGCACGGTCGGCTCCCCCGGCCCATCGCGGAGCTCCGGACAGCGGGGAGCGACGGCGTCCTCCGGGCTCCGGCTCAGGTGGCTCAACTTGACTCGCGGGCTGCAGCCCCGCCCGCTAGACCTGAGGGGGAGTTGGGTGGGGGGGGGGGGGGGAGCTGCTGTCACGTGGCCCTAGGTGGGCGGGGCCGAAGGAGGAAGTCGGGCGGCTAGCCCTGCCTCTCCCGCTCCGCTCCCGCCCCGCCCCCTGCTCACTCGGGGCGCCGGAGGCCCGAGGGGCGGCCGCGTGCTGCGCGAGCTCGGTGCGCGCCTGGAGGACGCCAACCAGTCGCCGCCGAGGCCGCAGGAACACGGGGGCGCGGAGAGCTGACCCGTGGGTCTTCTCCCCCGCCTCGCAGGCCCTCCCACCGCCTCCCCGACCCCTTCCGGCTCCTCTGCAACCCCCTGAGCGCGTGCCGTTGGGAAAACGTGTGGGTCTCTCTCCCTGGGCGCCTCCCGAGGGTCGGGCCTTGGTCTCCACCCCTTCCACCCCCCACGCTGGTGCTCCTGACACCCACTTGCCCGTGACCAAATGAATCGGCCAAGCCCGTGCTGGTGACGAGGCTAGTTGCTTCTGAGTTTCACTTCTGCACGGGTCAACCCACCTTAGGTCTTGGCTGGGCGTTCACTCCAGGCTCAGAGCTTGATCTAGGTACCCTGCGTGGTCATCCCCGTCTAGATGTCCATACGAAGCCAAACCTTGGAGGGGCGGGCGGGCGAGATTAGCTTAAGTGGGATAACTACATGTAATGTACTGTGAAGGACGACTGACCTCCTCCACAGGCTGCACGTTGCCTAGCAGGTGAAAGTACTCCCTCAGGCTGGAGTGGAATCCCACAGGCACCCACCACAATCCTCCTGGCTCCTAACATCCTCAGGGATGGGGCTTAGTTCTGCTGAGACTGGACGGGGGGGGGGGGGGGTGTCAAACTGCAGACTGGACCCCCTAGTGGGTCCCTATCAGCATTAAAAAAGCAGAATAGCCTGGGTGGCTCAGTCCCGTAAGCGTCTGCCTTCCGCTCAGGTCGTGATCCCGAGGTCCTGTGATCCAGCAGCAGGTCGGGCTCCCTGCGGAGCCCGCTTCTCCCTCTCCCTCTTCCTCTGCTGCTCCCCCTGCTTGTGCTCACGCGCGCTCTCTCAAATAAATAAAATCTTTTTTTTTTAAAAGATTTTATTTATTTATTTGACAGAGAGAGAGAGAAAGCACAAGTAGGCAGAGAGGCAGGCAGAGGGAGAGGGAGAAGCAGGCTCTCCACTGAGCAGGGAGCCCGATGTGGGGCTGGATCCCAGGACTCCGGGATCACGACCCGAGCCGAAGGCAGCCGCTCAACCGACCGAGCCACCCAGGCGCCCCAAATAAATAAAATCTTAAGGAAAAAGGCAGAATAGCAAATATCAAAGTGCAATGATCATGGAAGATCAGAAAGTGTTGGGAAACGTGTTTCAACTTTTCCTAAAGGTGCACAGGATCGCAGTAAGATGTAATTCTTCCTGTACTTCAAGTCAAAGGTAGTTTGAAAACCTCCGCTAGGCTAGTCATTTCCTGGCAGTGGTGATGGTTTCTCCAGAAACTGGCTGGAAAGTTCCTCTTCACCCCCAGCCATAACTAGCCTCCTCAGAGCCACCACCTGTTGCTTTCACCCCACTGCCAGGGCCTGTCACTTCCTCTCCCACAGGGTGGCTGTCAGGAGATGGGCACAGCACCCACATAGTCCCAGGTCTCCTCTCCTAGTCAGGCTTCCCCATGCTCTGTGATTTCTGTACCTCCGCCATCCTAACACCCTTCTGTGGACACGGTCCAGGCTAGTAGCATCCTTTTTATAAAGGGGCTCCCAGCACTGGAAACACAATTCCACACGGGGTGTGGGCAGCACCAACCCCCAGAGGTTCTAGCATTACAGGCCTTGGACACTTTACCTCTATTAATGGTGTCAATCTGTTTCTTAGCCAGTTATACTCAGGCTTCTATCTGCAGTCAGGACCTCTGTCCCGAACTCCAGATGGCCTCAACATTTCTACCGGGCTGTCTTGTCCGTCAGGCATCTCATATCCAACATGTCCTACACTAAGCTGATCTCTCCCCTCTCCCTCCCCAAAATGGGTTCCTCCTATGTGAGCTTTCTCCATCTCATTTAAAGGCAAGTCCATCTTCAAGCTGCTTAACTACTTTCTTTCATTTCCTCACATCTGACCCACTAGGAAATCCATAATCTGACCATTCACCACCTCCCAGTGTGTGTGTGTGGGGGGGTCACTATCAGCACCCTCTTTCTCCTGGTTACTGCAAGTTCCTCCTAACTGCTACCTCTGCTTCCCTGCAACCTATTCTCAACTCAGCAACCAGAATCTTTCTTTTTTTTTTTTTTGAAGATTTTATTTATTCATTTGAGACACAGAGATACA